TATATTTTTATCAAACAGTTGAATTGTTACAAGACACATGAAAAATATATATCTTTAGACAACAGAAACAATACCTGAACAGTAAATACATATTTTATGAGTGAAGTGTATTCGGTGAAATCGGATTCATTTAATATTTATTTGGAATATTTTACTCGAAGTTCGTGACAAAAGCTTTTTTTGTGACCTCGCCACCCTTGGCGGGACACCGGGGTGGTACCTAAGTCTGTCCCGTGACCTCCCGTGACCTCCCGTGACCTCTCTCAGGTACAAACTAACATAAGAAACGGATACCGGAAAAATATAACCGAATGTTGCTGTATACATAATTATATGATGGTTAATTTTCATGCAAATAAGTTCATGCATGTTAATGATATGTCACGTATACAAATACGATAACATGCTTCCTGATTGTAAGTGATACTTGATGGTTGCTGAGATTCGTTATGCTCTTCTGAATATTTTACTATAATGTTTAAATTCCCAAACCATATTTTACTTGATGGCTAGTGTTTCTTGTTTAAAAAAAATCAAATTTTAGCGGTGTAGTATAATAAACCATCCGTCAGGTAACCCGCTCTGTGACAGATTTGATTCGCAATTCCATGATAACATATTGCATGTCTGCACAAAACAATCTTGTGACGAATGCGATAAATATTGCTTCAAAGGATATATGATGTATGCTATTTGACCATGCGTAAATACCGTGTTCAACTCCGTATTGATACCATGATTAGCGGCGACAAAGCCACTCAGGAGTGAAAATACCGCCACTAGATCAGATTCACCGTTTCTCGTGTAAAATAAAATATAAATTTGGTCTATCATTTTTTTAATGACACTTATACATTACCACTTGTAATAATTTCCACCCGCAGAATGCATATGTATGCTATAGACCTACAGACTTGTCTAAGATCTCCGAGTCGGCCCGGTCGTTTGTGGTAAGGCTTTACTATGTGGCCGATCGTTATCAGCCTGGTTGCTACATCACGTGATGTGATTGATGGGAATTTAATGCATTAACTCTACAGGGTGGTCAGTCATCCTTTCATGGTGGCTGTGGTTTCGTTCCTCTCACGCGGGGTTGACCTTCCCTTGAAAAAGGTCATATTCATGATGACGAAATAGGGCCATCATTTTTGTATCAAATTTTATACTATTATTTTCATCTATCCTGGTTCTGCTGAACCTATCGAAGACTGTAGCTGAACTCTTGTTATCACGCGTCTACACGGTATGTGCATGTATGCGTGTGAATGGATTTTGGAATTTAAAACACGTGACTTAGGATAGCGATTCTGATTGGTTACTCACTCAGTAAAACACATTTACTGGGTATGCATAATTTGCATATCCATATATTAGCAGGTCTAGCTTTGTGTCAGAAATATAATTTCTAGAAGGATTTAATGGGCGAATGGCAGTCGAGCACCACATCAGTACACAGATGCTACTTTCATTTTAGCTATATTTTCTGATGAACCTCAAAACTACGGATGAAAGAAACGAATTTCAGGTATTTATGAAGTTGGACTGGATCGAGATATTCAGAAATCTTTGTTTCACATATTGCTTTTCAAAATAAATGTATTTATTTATGAAACTAAATCAAATATAAACTCAAAACATTGTCATCTATTTGTGTAACCTCATGTATACGACGTTACTGACGGCCTTCAAAATGGTGACGACAAAATGTGATATGCAATATAATATAATATTCCTTTGAAATAGACATCACTGTCCTCGAACTACACATGTTCACAATATGGTAGTGGTACACATTGATTCGTGACAAGTAACAACATGCTACGTTAATATATTACTTTTTACAATATGTAAAAACTTGAAATATACTTATTGGAAGGTCCAGCATAAAAAGGAATATATATATATATATATATTGTAGCATGTATGATTTACAAATCCAAATTTGTTAAGCATTTCATGTGAACAGATATGCTCCATATCAAAAAGCAAAATTAATAGCAAATGCTGAATAGAATAGATATAGAAAAATATTTGACTACTGAGTTTAGCTTTGAAAGTTTTAAGTATATAATAAAAACTACAAAGGGGCAAGGGATCAAAAAATATTCAACATGTATATACCCCGATTTTCTTTTTATGCAGTAACAAGGAAATACAAACACATTTTAAAGTTTAAAAATATATGAAATACGCTGTAAGCTGCTGTGAATTCTTAATTTAATGTACTTGGAAGTTAAAAGTCGAGGCAAGACAATACATTACCTATGGTGTTTCAATTTTCTTTCTTTAAAATAACAAGAACATACAATCACATTTTACAGTTTAAAACTATTTGAAATCAGCTATTAGGTATCGTTGACGGTTCGTTTACTTATTTTTTCAAGATTTCAAGATTTGTTTTTTACAATCTTAATTATTTATTTAATATACTATACATCTACATGTAACTAATACTTTAGTTAAAGTAAGACAGTAAATGAACTATAGTTGTAAAACTGTAGTTGTAGAATACAATAAATGTGAAATAAACAAAATTTATGTAATATTGCCGGTTTAAAAAATCTCAAGCAAACTTTTAATTACTATAATAAACTTCGATTTTATTTTATCGCCTAATTATAATTTTCAAAACAAGTTAAAATGATTAAACAGCAAAATTACCACGAAGTTATGACTATATATCATAGTGAAAGAATTCACCAGAGACCTTTATATCTGTACATGTATATACGTTTCTGTTTTCACTAAATACAGACCAATTTGAAAAGTCAGAGTACAGTATAGCAGCCATAATGTTTATCTTTCATTATTTTGTTATTTTTGTTGAAGAAATTTGATCGGACATTTTCGTTTAATGGATATTTTGAAGAAATCTCCACAAATGCATTTAAAGTTATGCTACATACCATATAACACAGTATAATATTATACAATTAATTACCTTTGTGAAGGTGAATATAATGTGCCGTGAACCTTAAACAAGTGGTATTGACCGAGAAGTATATTATGGTGAGAACTTATCAAGTATAAAAAATAATGTTTAATTAACGTGCAATAAAACAGGGTTTAGTTAAAGCAAGAAGCTCTCTTGCCCAGGCAAGTGAGTTTTTTTTCAGTGGTCATATTCATTTTGAAATGAACAAGCCCCCCTCCCTGACCCGAATGTTCTGCTTACATAAATATCTAAATTGTTAGAAAACATTCCTTCACGAATACTCAAATTATTTTATTGAAATACTTACGAAAACATGTTTAGAAGGGGCTGGTTGGGCCAGTTGGCATCACTCACATTCAGCTAACCCAGTGGACAATCGTATCTTTTTCTCCTGATATAGGGATACAGACAAAGTCATGTTCTTAGAAAACGATATATGGAGCAAATTACGTAATTACAATTTCCTCGATAGTTAATCTTGTAGAAATATAGACCGAGAGTTTATGAAACTGATGATTATTATATACATTCATATGGGTTATTTATCAAGTATAGTTCTACGAGCTTGACCGAATAGATCAATAAGCAAGCATGACAGATAACTTATCATTATGAATAAGAATCATAGTCTAACTCTGACATCAACAGTAGGACGTTTTGTGGCTCCCATAGTCCGAAAATAACCAAAGCACATTATGACGTCACACCATATGAGTGATGGACCAATTCCGTAACACACCTGCATCCAAAACAAATACGAAGAGTGTCTTAGTACCTCCCTAGCATATTTTCTTGTTATATTTAACCATCACAAGGACCTTTAATGTTTATTTCTGATTGTATGTATGCCTATTATGAGATTTCGAATGGGATTTTGAATCCACAAAGTTTGGTTCAAACGGTTTGATACTGTTTACACAAGATGCTATACATAGTAAATACAGATTTTGTTTATTAATAAAAAAAAAATCGAATCTTTGGTGTTGTTAACCCTACGTTCTGTGATCTGTTTTGATTGTATTTTATGCTATATATTCTGAATTACGCCAGATCATCAAATTAATTAATTAAGAGTCTGTTTTATGCACTGAAAGACAAAAATATAAAAAGTATGAAAAAAATGTAAAACGTGAAAGAGAAACGTAGTGAAATGTTTGTTTACAAGATAATTACATATTGATAATAATATATGCAGATTCATAAATAAAAATAAATAAATAATTAAAATATATGGTGATAAAGAGAAGTTTGTGTTGTCAGATATTGAAATTGAAATATGATGGTTAGTTTGAAGAGCTCCCACTTCACCTATTATTAACACTGAAATATTTTTATTCTCGAATTAGTCACATTAAACCTATCCTAAACATAAAATTCACTTCCAAACGTCGCATCGAGTAAATTTTTCCTTTTATCTTTTTCTTGAAAAATGTATTTTTAATTTAAATTAGTCTAACGCTTGTCAAATGAAAACAGACATTAATCAATGATTTTTTTTTCTTTAACAAAAACAACTTGAGAAACATTTGAAAATACCTCATATGTTCTTGCTTATTCGCCGTCAAGAAGTATGGCATTAGTTAAAGTAAGTTAGCCTGGGGTCTCTTGTGAATGGCATTATGTCTGTGTGCTGTGTGTCCCGGTGGGTAATGGTCCTACACTAGCCTGCTTTACCTATATCTACTGTACGCACTCTCGTGGATAAAAACCACACACGCTTTCGACCCCACAAATGGAAAAATCGACGTTATGTAAATTTTTAAAATCACGAGTCGTTGCTCCGTGTGTACAAAGTCTAAACGCGCTGTGTCTTGATATGCCCAGCCAACGAAGAAATCCATTAAAAAGATAAACTACGTATAAAAATGTACGTATATATATATATCGCGCAAGTGGTGAGCCTCTCGCAAAAGCTAACGTGAAACTTATCATAAAATGATATCGTGGGGGCTTTTCATGGTCCGACACTCCAACGGCTTATTATCTCAAATTCCCTGCATTTAATAGCAATGTAATTTATCATGTTAGTATCCTGTGTTATGGAAGTCTCGTCAACGTAAGCCAGGCGTCCATTTAGCGTATAGAAACCTGCGGAGGTCCTCATGCACTACTTTGGCGCAGCGGAGGGCGAACAACATAGACCGAGCGAGAGGGTAAATCGTTTGTCAGGTTGGTAAAATTAGTCGTAGTTTATTAAAACGTCGAGGCAATATTTTTTTCAATTGCCAGTTTAAAGATCGTATCTTTTGCATCTAAGAATTTTGTGTGTTTTTGGATTCCATAATTAGAAGATGTCAAAGTTGTATATAAATCGTAATTTCATATTATGAATCGAGGCATCTCGGGAGTCTTGTTTTGACATTCAACCACGGTATTTTCTGTGTTGTTTTTGACACTTGTCAGAATTCGCTGTCCTACATTTACTACGCGTATAGTCAGTCTAACGTATGGAGTTGTGAGGCAAAACACATTGATGGCGCGGTGCCGGGCGGCGATATGCTGTGTATCCCTAGAATGTTTATACGCAATAATCGCTTCCTCTAACTGTGAATCTGGTATTATATCTCTCAGTTTTTGTGATAACCTGTTCATTGCAATAATTATATAATATGGTCCAAGGTTTTAACGTTAACAATTTCGTACAATGAAACCTACTTATATTATTTGCGTACGATTGAAATCGTAGTATTCCGTTTATTCTTTTGTAATAGCGTTAATATTTTATGTGTGGATCCCGGAGTTCATGTCAGTCGATCTGCTTTCTCTTGCCTTGAAAACACTGCCACAGGTAATTACTAAAATTGTGATAAGAAATATACATGTAGAAGAAATACAGGGTAATAACTAAAAAATATTTAAGAAAAACAGGGTAATAAGTAAGAAAAACAGAAACGATACAGGATAACTAGCGAATTGCTGTCTTATAAATGAGATAATTGACATTTTATTTAAAAAGTACAAAATACATCGAAATTTTACTGTAATTAAACTTCGTTTCAAGAATCGCAGTGCATATTCTAACTTACATTGTAACACTTCCCTCATAGCCGTTGGCATTACTAAGTGTTGCGCCTTTCAAGCTATTAGAAAAACCTATTTATAAGAACCTAAATTAATTTTATTTATTAACGATAATAAAATTAGGTTTTAGAAATCAAAATATAATTTCCCTTTGACGAGAACATGCATTCTAGATTAGTATAGGCGTGGACTGTTATGGATGGCCAAATATAGTTCTATTCAAAAACACAAAGGCATTAGATATCAGGCTTAACCCAAACCTTCTCATTTCCTTCGGTATTTACTATAGTAGAACTGCACGTGACGTGTACGGACCTCGTATTGTGTGTACCGGCATAAAAACCAGCATGAACGTGAACACGTAGGTTCATGACGTATAACGCGATTGGCAATTTAATTTTTCCGGACGAAACATATCGATTATTGGTTCCGCGTTTTAGTGACGCCCTCGTAAACCAAACCCAATTATCGCCGTTGCTTCGATAAATAGCGCTTTTTGGTGCTATTGTCAACTCCACGGGGAGCGATTCGGAGCTCTTGGCATGCTGACACAGTAATTTCATCGAAAATAATGTTTCAAACCATGGATTTCTCATTCTAACTGAACTGTAAAACAGTTTCTCTACGGAATGTTGCAGCAAAATGCAAACAATAGAAGGGTTCGCGACAATGTACAGCTTTCAGGTAACAGGGAGAAATTGACGTTAAACTTCAATTTGTTACGTCTCTTCCAAAATTGTCACTTTTAACATAAATATATGGATCTGTGTGGTATACAATACATGTCAGCTTGCACCAATACATCACAATTAAGATATCGAAATGGGGAGGACGTCAGCTTTTCTGCCGATAAAAACGTAGTTTTGTCTTGAGTATATTCTGACCCTTCCACCAGACATAATATAACTGGACAGATGCACTTTGGGACATATAACTGAACGAATCTCTAATTACGAGATAACATCGTTATGCTTTGTTTCAGAACACTTATATTGCATAGCTTTTTGAATGACCATTGTTGCCAGCACGTCATCGTTTTCGTTTTATTTTTCTGATTGTTAACTTTTATTGTTGTCTGATGTCCAATGTCCATGATGTCTGAGAACAGTGGTTATGTTGTTTTTAATGTCATTGCAAATGATATTTGACGATCAATGTTGTCGTTTGATGGGGACTGTTAAAATATTGTTTGCACGACGGTCTCGGATATTGCTATGTATAAAGCCACTAGTACTATTTATATTTCAGTTCACTCAATATGTCCTACGGTCATTATGTATGAAGTTCGTTCATGGTATATATGCGAAGGTCACAGGAAACCGTTACACCTGAAGGTCATAGTTCATGAGACTGATATTAATGTCACGTGTTTGCTTTGATTACAGATGCACAGGACAACTCGGATAAAGATTACGGAACTCAACCCCCACCTGATCTGTGTGCTCTGCGGGGGGTACTACATAGACGCGGCCACCATTATTGAATGTCTGCACTCGTGTGAGTAAAAACAACATTTATTATAAATAACTTGACACGTGCTTTCTTATATATTTACAGCATAAATACCATCCTGAAGATCTCGGTAGCCGATGATTTTGTTAATTTGTTAGTTTGTTTGTTTGTTTGCGGTTAAACTTCCTCGCAAAAGCCAGGGTCACATGAGAACGAAACGAAAAAGAGCACAAGTAGGAAACGAAAAAGATCACGAGCGTTGCAATGAAGGGCAGCAGATCAATGTTGGGCTGTTCCATGTCCTTCAAGTAGAAGTCATAGAAGAAATCCCTCGATTATGCAGGGGCCCACACATAAATCGCCTGTTACAATATACACATGCAGTGAGATACAGCAGGTCTTTTCCTGGTATCTCAATATCCCCTAAAATAGAAGACAAAAAAAGAAACCACCCCCGATTCTGCAAGGGGGTCGATAGCCATACAAACAAAATAAAGCATTATCGGTTACATTTTATTGTTGATTTCTTGAAAAGGGGGAAATGCTTTGCGGATAAGCACCAATATGAAATCCGAAAAGAGAAAAGTAATTCTATTTTAAACCGGATTTAGCTGTTTCACTTCGTTAATGTACTACTTACTTAATACAGGGAAGCTTTCCTGGCTGTCAGTCGATAATTTCCCGCAGTCCTGCTAACCTTAGTGAATTGGATATTGTTATTTCTTCTTTCATGAATTCAAATACCGGCAAAAATGTCGTTTAGAGCACAATTGCAAACAGCAGTGTTGTAAGTACTTAACAATGCCACTGTTCAGTGTTCATATACTATAGTCCTGCCGTAGAGACAAAAAATAAAACTAAGGAAATTACGGAATTATTTTGTGCCAGACTGTCCACATTTACGGGACTCGACGGGTCCCTTTATTTTTTCCCTATCATGTTCGGGTGAAGAAAACGTCTGTTGTATCTCCTATTGCATGCTATCGCAAGAGGCGACTTGTGTACTCCACCTCATTTCCCTACAGAACTGGGGGAGGGGTCGTCTGTGCCGTCTGCTTAGGTGGTATTGAATAAACCCAAACAGATATAAAGCCCCATTTGTAGCACTTCCGATATCAATCTATTCTTTTCCCCACTACCCTACTTTTTCTTTTAAGTGGTGTCTCGCTATACACCAGTCTTCATGTTAATATTTCCTTTTTTTATATTTGGCTCTCGTTTTATCGGTTTTGAGTTCGAATGATGGTTTTGTTGCCGCTTAAATACTCTCTTGCTGTTGCGAGGACGTTAAACCCTAAACAATCATCGGAGGAAAAAAATATACCAAGACTGACAATATGAGGCGACTTATGTGGGTCCTCTTCAAAGCATCTGCTTAGGGAACAAATTGATAGAACTAAGAGCACACTGATACTTTGATTATTTCATTGTCTCTAGAGGCACACAGTCCGTTTAATTTCCCAATGTTTCTTCTGTATGAGTGTATTGTGTTGGTAGGCAATGAAGATCAGATCATAACACACCAAATCCCAGTAATGACCTACACGGTATATATCTCATTGGTATTAACTGATACCCGAGAACTGCTTCTCATATTGGAAAAACAATGCTCATAGCTTTGTCATGGTTCCAAGTTCGCGAGGACGCAATATCGCTGAGAGCAATAAGTGAGGACATTTCTCACACCCTTGTTCAGCATAGCTATGTGGCGTGGAGTTTATGTTTATACAAGGTTTCATGTCCTCGCAAAAGCCAAGGTCAAATAAAAGACGGGTGCCGAGGCAAACAATGACAAAATAAAAATTCGCGAAGTGAGAAAAGCAAATATATGGAAAAGATCATAAGTGTTGAAATGGGTCAATAGATCTGTATTTGGTTCGTGAATGCCCCATAGGAAGACAAGAAAAAACCCGATTCTACAAGTGGCATCACATAAGTCGCCTCTTACTATACAGTTGGATTCAGTAGGTTTACTTGTTCTCTGAAGCTGCAGGGTTCGAATGTCGATATCGGGTATTGCATATGATATCTAATTTTTGGCCGCTCCCTGTTTTACAGTTTGCCGGACATGTATCGTCCGCTACTTGGAATCAAGCAAGTACTGTCCAATCTGTGATGTCATGGTACACAAGACAAAACCGCTACAGAATGTCAAGTAAGTAACCTTACCGACAAGTCAGTTAACTAGGACCAGGACCAAGAAACACTGATGTAACTGGATATTTGAAACCCAGCGGCACCTCAGCACAGTATCACAGTGTCATTAACATAATATCCGAAATCCTATAAAACAGTGTTCAGTTTCATATTCTTCTTAGGAACCTCTTTTAGCATTATCAATAAACCGTACAGACCTTGAAATCTCACAGAAATTGCAAAAAAGAAAATGTAGTAAAAAAAATGTTTTTCAAAGACAGCAGTCATTTTAGTTAGTGCGTGTGTGTTCTATAGTTCGAACCTTTAATGTCGGTCATCACGAAAGGGTGAGTTGTGTATGCTAATAACGTTATACTGTGGAATTTCAGATCAGACAAAACACTACAGGACCTTGTGTATAAGCTAGTACCAGGATTATACAAAAGTAAGTACTACACTATTTGTCATTGTATATAGCATTGTCCCTATTGTAACACTTCCCGTCATCGTTTTGGTACTTATGACATCACAATAGATGATATATTACACTGTGTAGTTGTACTATAAACCTTTATTTTGTTTAGTAGCTAGGCCATAGCAAAGAATGCTCTAATTTCTTGTAACTAGTAACTGGAGTATACAAAAATATTTATTTTGAGTTGTATTACACAAAAACGTTACAATAGTACATGTGTAAATTCATGCAAGTGTTTGTCCAAAATATTTCTCGTTTCATCCATCATTGAGCAAAGACAGGTGAAAAAAAGAAACAGTTTTATTCATATTTGGCCTATAACAGAGTTAGACACGGAGCCTTGGCAGTGTAAGGGGGTAGTTTGGAATTTGTTCGACATTTGTAACCCTGTAGTAATGTATACCATTGGATCTGTTGTCACAATAATTACCTATATCACGAGACATGCCTAGCTATTCAGCAGGTAGGTACGATTTCTACAGAGCCGCCCGGAGGATTTCCCACTATATATTATATACACACATGTCGCCTCCTGTCCAATATACCGTAATTAATGAGTTGTCATTCGAACTTTGTAGAAGATACATGCGTTCTTTCAAACTCGATTCGTGGTTGTCCATACATAGTCAATTACATGCTGTGCAGTGTAAAGCGGTAAGAACTACAAAGTGTCAGTTTTTGATTAATAGGGTCGTCCCTGTAGGTTGGCCCGTATAAAAATATAGGTAAATGATCGACCGAGGTTAGCGGCGTATCTAGATTATAGGGGATACGATTCACAGGAAGTTTGAACCTTGTTTTCTCTACCGTTGAGGTATGTTACTACAACTGCACAAATCTACGACAGAAAATCGTTCACTATTCATAAGAAGATCGGTCATTTTACAATTTAAATGTTAATGTGACATTTTCACGAACACGATTTGTTTTTGCAGGTGAGATGAAACGCAGACGAGACCTATACAATGCCCACCCAGAAGCAGGTAAGATCGGAAATGTACCTCATAAATTATTTTAGATAATTTCCGTATGCATAATTAATATCAGAATTGAAATGGGACATCTTTTTTAAACAAAACACTAAACAAAATTAAACTATCCAATTCAATGGCAAATATCAAAACGGCGAGTTGTGACGTCAGAGGTTTTGACACTTCCGCTCGAACGAGTTTGACTTTGTTTATGCTATGACAGGGTGATGAATTATTTGTTTATTTTATGTTAACGGTTGCGTAACTGAGCACGTGCGTCCACGGGAAACTTGATCTAACACTTTATACAGACAGTGACGTTAAGTTACTGTGACATGTATGAGAGATTGGTGTTATTTTCACCACCCAGGCTGTCAGTTGAAAACTGTACCGCTAGTAACAGACTGTATAAAGCGATCATAAAAACAACTTTGCATCGTTTTTTTAAATAACATATTTCGACCATTCTGATTCATCATTACCCGAAAGTTAGTATTGCTCATATATTCTAATGTTGGTCTTTTGAAATATGTGTGTGAATTAATTTGCGAAGATCATTAAATTTTACAGAGCTCTTTAATAATGGAGAGTAATAAATTTCGCTGTAAGACAGCATATAGTTTTAGGTTTAAGAAAATTCTAAGAAAGAGTTCGATCGATCCGGAATCTCAGAAGATGAGGAATATATGTTAGCTTATAAAACGTGAAAAATGTATATGACATTAACTTTTTGGAGGCTGAAATGATCAATCAACTCGGTGGTACAAATGTTTGAACCTCGGCGGTACAAAGCGTTTGAACCTCGGCGGTACAAAGCGTTTGAACATCGGCGGTACAAAGCGTTTGAACCTCGGTGGTACAAAGCGTTTGAACCTCGGCGGTACAAAGCGTTTGAACCTCGGCGGTATAAATGTCAATTGGCTTAAAATAATCGTTAACGTTTGTTAACATGCAAGTTGTTGATATTGTTTTGAGATAAAGTTCAGCCGTGATGCTACAAAATTTCAACAAAACTGAACACAGAACTGGGCGATGCAACCTTCACTGGATTATGTGAGAATCAAGAGAGATCTTGACTTAACCCATTACTTGTTTGAGAAAAAAGAGAGGCCTACTGTATTTTACATCATTTTATTGTAAGAGGCAACTTATGTTTGCTCATCGGGATTAGGCGTTTTTCTGTGTATTCTGCTTTGTGGACATTCATGAGGCACCGTAGTCTATAGTAGTAGGATGCTGGGCTCGTGATCGAAGGGTTGTCGGTTCGAGTCACGTCACGGCACTGTGTTGTATTTTTGAGCAAGATACTTTGCTCCGCTTGTTCCAGTCTACTCAGCTGTAAATGAGTTACGTGTTTGAGAAGTGCTGGAATTGTTGAATGCTAGCTATGGCACCACCGGCTGTGTGCTCCCCGGGGAGTTGAGAAAGATATTCGATGGTTGCAAAGGCCCTATAACCACGGATAATAATTTGTGAACCGCTTTGAGACGACCTACGAACTAGGTTGTGATAAAGCGGTACATAAGAACCTCGAGTTAGTATTATGAAACAAAAAATAAATCTGCTGCAATATTTTCTGACTTCCCCGCTCCTTTTTGTTTGGTGTTTTCCTCCTGGATACCCCTCTGTATATGACCTCAGCTGTTGCAAAGATGTAAAACCTCGAACAAATAAAACAAAGATTTTTTTGTTTTTTTTTCCAGCTCATCATTGCACTGGACCATGTGAGGAGAAAGGAGATGAGGACCAGGACCGTCTCATCTACACATACGACGAAAAAATCAGCCTTTCCCTTGAGCTGTACTCTGAGTAAGTACTTAAAGTTTGTCGGAGCTAAGGACTTTAAAACAATGTTATAATGGGCTTATTTGAAAATAATACCGATAAGTAGTAGAAAGGTTATGAATCACAACCAGTAAGTGTTTATACGTGACGTTTCAGTGACAAGTACGATACGCACCAAGTCACCTTCGTCAGACAAATGGCCAGTGAAGGGTGTGTACATAAAGGTGTAGCATATACATGTACGAGTTGGCGATATATAATTGAAGTCAATTCGGACACGCTATACACGTGTGGACACTTAGTTGTTGTACATGTGCGAAATGACCAATCCTACCGACAATTTTATTCGGCCAAGTTTTGTTTTACAACAATAAGGAATTTTAAACAAAGTCCCGGAGGGAAAGATATATTTATTGTGGTGATGCATACTTGGATCTCCATGTCATACGTCTATCATCGGGGCTGCTTTGTATACACAAGCAGAAGAACGTATACCATTATGGGTAATAATCTACATAACATCTATTTATAGAATGGAAATCGGCTAAATTTTTATCACTGGTAATATGTTCGGATTTTCACCTCAAGTTGGAAGAATTCGATGTAAACAACCTGTTACTGGAATACGAACTTATCAATTAAATCTTTTGAACGCTTAAATCATGACAGTTCCGGGAAAGTATCGATTTAGATGGTTTGCAACACAAATATTGTTATTGTTATTATTTATATTGCTAAAAACTAAATATGCTACTGTATAACCTCTATATAATGTCCCTCTTTTCGTTTGCCACCTCGCCTACCGCCAATATATTCCATGGTCCATTTCTCGTTTTTCTTAAGCATTCCTTTATATGTTTTCCCACATTTATCTCCAAACCCCTCTATTATGTCAAAAAATTATATGGACAAGTAGTGGCCGTATAACGAGTTTTCATTGTTTATATATTTTACTTTTAACAGATGTGTGCCAGAGGAAGTCCTTGATTTCAGTACAGGAATAGTCAATCCCGATCGAATGAAGGTAACGATAGTAGATCATATGTGACGTCACATAAAAAGTGTCCTATTCATTCTATTGCACAGCTAAAGGTTTTAATCAGATGCCTGTTATAATTTCTATAGAATAACACTATAGAATATAGAATAAATACGAATAAATCATATGTTTGATTTCCGAAGACCGGAGCTGAGCATAACGAAGACGAAGATGAAATAATGACATTGTGTCAATATACTGTAAAATGGTTACAATTCCTTGGAGACAATGTTTCAGCCCGTCAATATTATCAGCGAATGCTTGAGTCAAAAGTCAGTAGGTTTTACTGGAAAATGGGATCATGTGACCTATTTAATACAACAGATTGTACCATGTGATACAATATATTTGTTGCAAGGAATGGTCCGACAATGTATGCATCTGTAAAATAAGGTCAAAGTGGTATGCTATATAAATACCCCCATCCCATCAAATACTCTCAGCAGATTTCTAAAGACACGGTCCACTGTAATCTACCATTTTATATCAAACATTACAAGTCCCTGCGAGCCTCATTAATTTTGTATGTAAGTCACACTTGATGCTTTTCCGCCACAGAAGAGGGATGTCCGGTATCTGCAGTGTCCGGCAGCAGTGACCATTGGTCATCTGAAGAAGTTCATCAGGATGAAATTTGACCTGCCACCTCGCTACAAGGTACTTCACATGTGTAGCTAATTCATGATGTGGCATAAGGGATTAAGTTGTATTGGTTTTAATTTGATACTATAAGATTTTATAAAACCATATGTAATTTTGACGCCCAATGAAAAGTTCCAACACAACGTAATTTCTACGTGCCATTAGCTATCCCCTGTTATTTTGGCAAATGCAGCCGTTATTGGTATTGCTATGATAAAAACTGTTCCCCAACGATTAATGTTTGACAAACATTGTCGTCTAAATCTTCGTAAAACTTATTTAGATTACACACCGACACGTACCCTTTCTCAGGGCAAATACACACATGCACGCATGCACAACACACATTGGGGCCATCCTTAAATGACCTTAAAAGCTGAAAAGACGTTAAACCCCATACAACTAGCCAACCAACACTCATACACTCGGTAAACTTCCTGTCTGTTTGGGTTTGAAAATTAATGAACTCGAATGACAAACAATTATTTTTCCTTTGGGAACTTCGGTGTATAGCATAACTTAGTTTGTTATTACAACTCAGATATTGTTTAAAAAATCCACAATAGTGAAAATATTTTACACGTGGTGAAAAGGTTGGAAGTAACATCAATGCCTATGTTAACCGCTGTGAGAACTAAGGATATGGATAAAATAACGACCTATGACCTGTGACGTCATATGTAACGTGTACGTACATGGTGATACAATAGAACATATATAAAATACTTCTTTTTGGCAGCACACGACCGTCACAGTGATGTCTGGATATGTTATTGAATTATCATTTGTTTATTCTGAATTCGTAAAAATGCAATTTGTGAAACATAGACCCCATGGCATTTAAATTATGAAAATTATACTGTTAGACTAAGGAAAAACCTGAAAACCAGCCACTATTCGTTGGAGTACCTGTAGACTTAAGCTAATTTTTTCCGCTACTTGCTTGATTGTCTTCCTTCCTTTTGTTTCATCCGTGTCTTAATATATTTGAGATATTGTGTTCATCCATATCATAACATTGGAACCCCTACGATACCAAAACTACTTCCTCCAACCCGAATATCCTATTTCCCCTCGCCTTTCCCTTCCCATTCAAACAACCTAACCACCCTAGCTCACTAAATTCCGACCTGAAGAGCCCCATCATTATTTACCTATCTCATCCCTTTCAATTACCCAACCACCCTTATTCACTTACCCCGACCCGAATAACGCCATCACTGCTTACCTAACTCATCCCATTCAAATACCCAACCACCCTAGCTCACTTCACCCCGACCTAAAGAGGCCCATCACTACTTGCCCTGCTCATCCCCTTCTAACGACTCAACGACCTTAGTTTACTAGGCCCCGACATGAGGAGCCCCATCACTACCCACCAATCTCGTCCCTTTCAAACAACCCAACCAACCACTCAACTTCTCCAATCCAACAGTTCATTACAACTCGTGTCCTCCTCCCATGCGTACAACCCATAACCGTCATCCAGCCAAATCTTTCCATCTGAAAATAGCCCAACAATGTACCATCTTCTAATCAAACAACCCCACCACCACCCACCTATCCCCTTCCTACAAGACTGTCCAGTATTACATGTGTAGCCATACTGTTATTTATTTTTTTCTTTTCTAGATTGACATTTTCCACTCATTTGAACCGTTAGACGACTTGTTCACCTTGATGGATGTAGCATATATTTACACGTGGAGGCGGGTAAGTTCACAACATAATCACAACAAACTAGAATATTTCTTAACCATAGTTTTTTTTAACTCATTCACCACTGAAAATTCGTAATGATCTATTCCAACGTTTGTTGGACTTCAAATGTGTTTTCATGGGGTGAATGAGTCAAATCTCTTCATCGCTGTTGCTTAACTGCACTTCAGATAGTGGCAATGCAGCATGGCATTACTGTTATTAGAATATCTGCCAATGTTTGGTACTCGTTGACTTTGTTGTGTTCCTAGATCGACACAAATAAATCAAAATGTATTGTATGTGTCTAGAAGAACACATTTCTTTAACGTGGGCTGTATTAAACAACTAATGTTATCTATACCATTGTATTACAGCAATCGCCATTACGACTTGTGTACACCGTGTTCGAATTGGCAAGAAACCACAAGCGAAAATATGAGAATGAACAGACGGTAATTACGGAGAAACAACCATCTACAATAGAAGATGTCCCGAAGGAAACACCAGTAGCCGAGAGAGATACATCTCCTATGCAACCAGCCATGGAAGCCAGTCCCCCTTCACAGACGACGCCAACGCCTGCTACTGCACCTGCACCTGTGCAGACGGTGACGCCCGTGACACGAGATGAAACACAACATGCAAAAGAGTCTTCCTTTCAAGTGAAACAGAACGGAAAAGATCCAGCGCAAAAGGAAGCCAGTGCTCCGGTTATCAAGAAAAATACATCCAAGTATATGGACCGACTATCCTGTCAGGCACCAACCTCTTTGAGCAAGGGACTCTTGAGTAAACATCCCGTAGAAAGTGCTGGGTTCAAACCCTTGGAGGATGTGAACAGCTTCAGCAACAACAGTGGTAGTGTGTATGACTTTAACGATGGTCGTGATAGTCCCGTTCCAGCTTTCACGTCGCCCTCTGGTGGCGGTGGTGAAAACGGCAGTAAAGGGGCTTTAAAACAGACATCAGGAAAGAAAAGAAAATTAGCAAACGGTAAACTTTCTTATATAGCCGAATCACGCTTACAGGAGCAAGTTATCTCTAGTAAGACAAAAGTAACGAAAGACTCAACGAAAACTAACAAACCAACAACAAAAGAGAAGAAGCAAGGACTGTTCGATATCAGAGGGAAAGTGAAATCGTCCAAATTTAATGGCATTTATACGCCGCATGTTCTGAATGGACACATCAGTAACTAAACGGTGGTTGTATGTTATGGTGGATTAAATCACTTCGCTGTATGTGATTATTGAAAGTCTGAAAGCAGCTAATGTTATATTTTGAGAAAAATGTGGTATAGCCATAAAAGGAAAACGAAGTTCTAAATATTCCTTATTTGGATGGAAGTGTTTGCATTACCGGTTACTGTTGAATATTCAGTTCAATCTGTGTTACATATGGATTGCCGTGGTCATTTTTGGAATGGCTAAATTATTCCCTATTTGATTCAACTGGTTTTATTAGATGATTTTTAGACAATTTGGAAGTTTACTACTCACTGTCTCAGTTTTCTGTACAAACACTACACAGAAGAATGCTGAAAACGGTTGGGGCATTTTTATAGGGAACCTTTTTTAGGGAGCAAGGTTTCTTGCATTAAAGGGCGTTATATCAATATTGCATTTTCGGCAATTGAAAGTTGTAATTTTAATTGCCTACTGAAGAGCATTTTCCACATTTCGTGCCAGTTGCTAGATATTCTGAACTGGCGTCTGGTCTATACATACGCTGGTCAACGACAAATATGTGGCGCGCTACTCAAATGCTGTGAATGTTGTATTTCAATGATGATTTGTCAAAATGGCACACTTGAAAAACGTTCCCTTCGTGATGCAGACAGAAATCTCAACTCTGGGATAAAACAATTGAGTTTTCACAGCCTTGTACTCTTAAACACGGTGGAGATATCTTGTATAAACACAGATGACATGCGTAGATAAAATGGAAAATGAAATACATTTCAAAAATATTTATATTTAAAATAGTGATGGAAGTTGATCTGTCCAGAAATTTTATTTAATGAGGATTTGTATCTTGAAACACTAAACAACAAGACGTATCATTAAGTTTGTCTTAGTCATATTTTATTTCTATAGTAAATACCCTGACCTGAGGTTCAATTTACTGTGTTAAAAATGAAATACAAAATATCAAATAAACCCAGAAGTCTAAAATTCATTGGGAACACTGAGGATAATTTTTTAGGAGCTTTCGTTTCAATTCCCTCCTAAAATAAGTATCCAGTTATTTCAATGAGTTTCCCTCACCTCGCTAGTTTAAGATGAAATTACAATATACCTGTAATTAATTCTTATTTCTTAACAACCCTGAATAAAATATCACCCATAGGAATTTTTTTTCAAACTTTCACTGACAAGAAAATTATTGAGACTTTCTTTATCCAATGGCACGAAATCAAAGGCCTATGTTGTTACACAGCACATGTGCCGAATGGTTGCTGTTTCGTTTACCATAGAATGATGACTAGTATATTAGCAAAGATCTTAACTTGTAATAAACACCGTGGTAGGTACAGCGTACGTAAAGAAAACGTAATGGTTTCTGATGGCATTTATTATAACAATATACTCGTAGCCACAGAGTCTTGCGACAGCATGCTTCTGTCCCGTAATGCGTTTTTATAACACTTAGATATATCTTGTTTTCTACCTGTACACATTTAACGTGTTTACTGCATATGTAGGCATTCCGAAAATTCTTTTATAGACATATACAGATCAATTTTGTTTGAAGTACCTTTTTAGAGCATTTTTATGACAACGGCGCTATAAAACGGAACGAATACCACCCGTGATGGCTATTTATAGATAAAGAACCCAAACAACTACCCGTGGAGTAGAAATGGTCTGCGGTTTCAGAACGTAAATTTAATGTTTTTCTATAATGGGGAGGTATACTTTTAGCTTAAGCTTTTTACCTTTTGATACTGGTGGCCCATTACCTGAATATGATAGGCGACATTCGCATGTTTTAAATGAATTTTGATACATGCATATATTATAATGTTCTGAAGCCAAGATCAACCTAACTAAAAGTATTTTGCCTGGTTATTTCATGTGGTGTTTCGGGCATAAAGATACTCATGAGAGGTAAGTAATATGAATGAAATTCGCTCTGAAAATTTGTGCTGATGTTGACTGTTTGTGATAAAAGTTTTATTTTTTTTTATCTTCCTACATGTTATTAATTTGGCAAACAAAACGGTAATCTAAGTGTAATAAATTAAGAAAAGCCTAGCTTTCGTTACTTATAATTCAATTTTATTGCTTAATTATAATTGCAGAATATATTTTGATGGTAAGCTACATAAACCGACAAACTTAAATTTTAACCATGTTCAATTTTCGAAACTATGTTTCCGCATTTATTTGTCGCCTTTATTTGTGAATTTTCTGTTTAGCATTGCTTTCATTTTGTGTAAAAATTGCACAAGTAGTGCTTATAGTTTCCAGGACTTGCTTTTGTGATGGAGTATGATGCTGACAGCTATGTGATGAGAATACCGGTTATTCATAACCACAATTATATTTTTTACACTTGGACCAAACTATTTTACGTCACTTCACACTTTTTACGTTATTTGAAGTTTTATGGTTTGTGACGTCATAACTTGATTTGATTTGATGTATTCAATTTCTTATTTATGTTACGCACTACTTTGCAACATGTTTACAGCACGTGATATGACGTCACGTGATCTTTATATTTCCTTATGTTAAAATAATGTGAAGTAAACATAACGTGATGTACTTGTTCTTGTTTGTTTGTATTCGTCACGTGGTGTAAAGGTTAATCACGTGGTGTTTAATGCCACGTGACATTGGTTTGCGTTACCTGATAATGTGTTTTTGGCCTGATGTACTACGTCTTTTGGTTTAGTTGTGACGTGACTGGTGTAAAGTGATACTTTATGTGTTATTAAGGTCACGTGATTTGTAAATAAAGTAATACTTTATATGTTCGCGTGATGTGTGTATACAGTAATACTTTGTTTGTTCTTCCGGTCACGTGATGTTTATGTAATGTGATACTTCAATGTATTTTGCGTTATGTGTAATGTTGACAATGACAGACTTGTAATTAAACTAAGCTGTGGTGCCAATTTCTATCAATGTTTCGTGTTATTTATTGTACTGTGCGTGAAAGCCAATAGACAGCTGTGTGTAATACATACACGTCCTAATGTGTTTGTAGTATTTTGGCTAGTGGGATGCTTCCATAATTTAAAAACTATAATAAATAATATGATATAATATGATATAATATGTGATAGTAATTGCCCGTCAACACAGTAATGTCATACCGAGTTACATGGTAGAAAATGGGTTGATAGCGTGCCAAGAGAGACACAAATCATACATGTTAAATAAAATCTAAGGAATGGAAAAGATTGAGATCTCAACTCGTGTAACAGATATGTTTGGTCTCGTCAATATCCTTTAAGTAGGGGACACAGTAGAAATATGAGATTCTTAATGAGGCCAAAACTATTATCACCTCGTACAATCATGAAGTGAAATAGTGCATGTCTGGTTGTTCCGTCAATATGCACAGATGAATACAGTGAGTGAGAAACCCTTGAATATCAACTATCTCTACCAATCATGTGGTACGATATAAAGTACAGCTAGGGCTTTTTATACCAAGTACCTAGCCATCCTCGAAAGTTTAGGGGGAACGCTCTCAGGTTCTATGCACCCCTTGGATATGTCATGACAAAATTAAAAGCTACGTACACGCAAGCTTGCGGATACTACAAATAGGCTAATATAGTCGTTTACTGTATATCAAAAGAATCGCGCGGCACCTCAACTGTAAAAGGGACAGGTTTTGAAGTCGGGTGTTCGCTTCTCTGAAAACGTCAAAGGACAGGTAACAAAATGGCTAGCTGAGTGTCTTGATTTGTTATGATAAATTACAGGTGTGCAAAGAACGTAAGTTTGCGTATTGATGCTATAATTGTTAAGGAATTTTACAATAAATACACCATATTTTACTGGGGTGGTACATAGTCATAAATGAGCTAGCACTTTCGGTAGCCCCGTCAACCTTTGTTAATTTTTAGGACATCACAACGAAAAAACTAACTCTGTAGTATTGATTCTCCTAGCGCTGACCTACTCCTCGGCAGTTCCACTAAAAGTGTATTGCATACATTGACGGCAGAAGAGTAGTCACTTTAATTAGTAATTTGTATCTAGAGGGGAGTGGGAAAATATATCTAGTTGATTGATGCACACGGAGAACAATGGAGGCCATCTTGATATGAATGGATAATAGTTTCTGTAAATAAAGTTACTGGAAGTGTTAACATTTTTGCGGACACATATTTTCATGGTTGTTCAAACGAATCATTAGCACGAGAGTGAAGCCGCAAAATGTACAATACTATTTCATACGTATATATATATATACATGTTCATTCGTACTTAACCGGTCACTGTCCCAAATGCATTTTGATAATGTTAAGACTTTTTCCAATATTTACCTTTGTGTGGATGGAGACTGAATATATTTTTTATTTATTTTTTGCTGTAAAAAACAGTTGCCACACTATATGTTTACAAATATCAGTAAATAATATGAATTATTTCACTTCAGAACGACCTGCTTCATATTTAAGGTAAGATAAATACAACATGTCGACAACAGCTTTCCTGATATGATAAACTACACAAAAACATGGATTACAAACAACGTGGTTTCGTCTATGTCTTCTCATTATACGACACAATACATTTATATAAGAACAATCTTGTTAAAATGTGTTAAATTACATGTTGATAAGATATATTCGATTGTGTTACAAAAATATGCTGCGGAAGTGACTTTCATACACTGGGTTAAATTTATGCTTTCAGTCATGCGACGACGGGAAAACAATGACGGGTGTCAAGGGAAAAACAGTCGAGAAGATAAACATAGGCGTAAAGTAAGACAAAGGAGCTGATCAATGTTAGTCTCCTCAGTTTCCACAGCAGCGGTCACTGAGAAAAGCCACATTATGTCTAATTCGATTGTAGGCACTGTCGTCTCCTGTTAATCATATTACTGCCTATTCAGCTGTTCCATTATCCATCCTGTTTTTTTACTGGACCGAATGACCCTTTTTTCTGGCCATCTCACAATCGTGCTTCTTTTGCAACGAACGAAGAGGGCTAGATTAGCTACTGGAAGTAAAGATGGTTGATTTATCAAAGCATATTCTGAATGATAAAGTTTAGTGTTTAAAAAAGCCCTTTTAAAGTTGAATATGATGTTTCAGGAAACTCCATACTGTAAATTTTCACTGCAGTTTAACTTTTGCCTTTTTCGCCCCTCGTAACGGGACCTTAACATCGTAACAGCGAATATAAGTACAAAACAGCATACACAATAAAGTAGTGTGTGTAAAGCGAAATTACCAATGTGCGGATATGGATTGTACCGGCTAAGGGCGAATATATGACAGGGAGACAGTTTACTGGTATACAGTACACGTATTATTTTCCTTCATAATCAGACAGTTTCTCTCACGACGATCTGGCAGTTTCTCTCACGGTCTGGTAGTTGTTCTCGTGGTTTAGCAGTTTCTCTGACGATCTGGCATCTTTCTCATGATCTGACATTTTTTCTCGAGGTGTAGTCGTTTCTCTCACGATCTGACATTTTTTCTCGAGGTGTTGTCGTTTCTCTCACGATCTAGCAGTTTTTTCTCGTGGTGTAGCCGTTTCTCTCACGATTGGCATTTCGCAATGGAGTACAGCAGATTGATTTCCCTATTAATGATCAATATGAACGTTGTAATTATTTATAATCTGATAGTTATGAATCGTTACTGTATAAAACATATTTATCGCTGCAAATTGAAAATACAGCTACATGCAACCTACATTTGAACCAAGCAAACAAATTATTGTGAACTTTAATCAAAATCAATAAGAAACATAAATAATAACAAATAATAAATACATACAATAACAGCTGCTTATAATAGAATAAACAAAATATCTCCAAACATAGATTTATTCTTACCGAGTGATTTTTGTCGATGAACGTTCCAGAGAACATGCATGTAAGAAATACAATACATGTGTGTTTTGCAGAATTTATAAAAAAAATCGGTATTTCCCCTCAAGGATCCCCAACGCAATATCTTAATTTAAAAGTACAGATGCACTTTAAAATGCTATTCACTTTATTCCTAAAATACCAGCATGTAGTTAAGGATAAGTACATATATATACGAATGATGTTTTCAGTGGATGTGTTCTGCACCTCTGTGTGCGACACACAGGACGCACGCTGACCCCGCCGGCGGTATATGACGCATACTTCCAATAGGCAATTTGTTAGTTCACGGAAAGATATATCAAGGTCAGTTTCAAGGGTCATATTTATCTCATAAATAAGATATTACACATAAGCAAACCTAAAAGGCCAATTATTGGTGTACTTTCATATCGAAATTAGCACCATATGGTTCATGTTAAAGTAATAATGTCAGGAAAATGGTTTTTTTCTTCTGCCGAACGTTAATGTTTCATAAACTAGAATGTCATTAAGAGTTACGAGATATATAGATCTATTCTAAATCTAGCATCTTACGAACATTTTTATTAAATAGGTATTACATTATATCGTTTATCGCCTTTTTCCAATTATGCCGTACTTTATAAAAATGTGAAGTAAAATACAAGGAGCTTGTTTGTTAAGGATGTCATTAGCACCGACAAGGACTGACAGGTAACCAATTAAACATCGGAAGAGATAAAGGTAAAGGTTGAATTAACAGAACAAGGTTAGATTTAATTGGAAATGAAAGGTTAAAGGTCAATTGTTATATTTTGTTTATCACATACACTTCATAATATATATAATATTGGAGAAAGTGCTGAATGATGTTAGAGAACGTTCCTTTTATTCACATATAAGAATATAACACACTAATTTAGCCACCAATAAACTATATTAATGTACCTGCAAATATTTTATTAACATCATATCTCTAATGCTGGGTATATGTAATACTGGATTTTATTTTGCGGTGTGGGGACATGTTCGCTTGTTTTCGCGTGAGTGAATAAGCGCAAAAATCTTCGCATATTTTTTAATGCATAACATAGATTTTAGATATAAAAAGCACATAGATTTCAAAACCGCTGCCAACGCGATATTTTCACATTGCGATCGTTTTAAAGAGTGGCAACGCGAAGATTTCCACAACCGAGATTTTCATTTTTTTTCAAATATAATATAATAATATATGACGTACAACAACGTTATACATGATAATTATATTCACATATTTGACATAATACTTTTTTTCTGACGTTTACAAAGGATGAGTCTCCTCAACACTGGACTCAAAATTGAACGATTGTACAAATTAAATTATAAAGTTCATTAATTGCATTTACCCTTTAGTCATAATAAAGTTGTTTATTCTGCCAATGTGTACCTATTCTCTTCTTTAATGTGTTCATGTTTGAAGCGGATACAACGTCCTCCGTAAGACTGTTCAAAGTTTTTGACTACAAGAAATGTGAACTTGTTTCTCCTCAGGGATATTGTTGACTGACATGGAAATATATATTCCGTATATTTTTTTCAGTTTTGTTAATCTTTGATTGACATGATGTCAATGGTACTAATCTTTCGCAGTGAATCATCTCATATCTAGAAAACATCTTCATCGCCATTGCATGCTATTGTCATGCTTTGTCCTCTACCAAATGAATGCACGTTATTCCACCATTGTCTTCTAGAAGAACAGTTACCATAACGAAAGTAGTGTTTTGACACATTTTATAACATTTTTACAAGTTAAAATATAAGGTTTTACAGTGATATGTTCGACTATGTTATCTAACATTTCTTGGTTACTTAACACCTTACCGACAAATCAGACAGCAAGGCTTAGAGAGAAAAATAATGTGCAATGCCCAAACTGGCATCCCAATAGCGTTAACGTTTTACCTATTGTGACATCACAACGCAGTATCCCTTGCCAAAACAACTTTGTTTGTGGCAGATTTACTATCACTTCATAGAAGCCAATGTGACTAAAATAATAGCAATGTAATTAAAAGTATATTCGTATTTTTTGACGATTAATAAAGTTTAC